CCCTCACAATAAGATGCTCACGCCCAATAAAAAAATTGTGGGCCCCTATTTTGAGGGGCTCGGAGTACAAGTAATAAAATCATATTTTGAATCACAGGTAGTGAATATGAATATTTATATACCCTTTAGACTCTGGGGTACAAGTAGCAAAATTCTATTATGAACCGAGTAGTGAATATGAATATTTATAGGAGTAATGTTGTTTATTCCCATTGGGACTGAACCCCAATTTATGTAACAATTACATAACATTAAATGATAGATTTATTTAAATACAAAGTCACATGACTTATTTAATTGAGTCTATCATTTAATGTAATGTAATTATCACATAGATTGAGGCTCAACCCCGGGAATGAATATCATTATTCTATCTATAAACACTTTTAGTACACCCAAACACGACGCAATGGATCCCCCACCGCAGCTAACCAATCATAAAACGAATTTATGACTATTAAAGTACAAACTAATCACTCATTAGTCCTCCATATAAAACCGTTGTCCTTTCTAATTAACATTAAATTACAAACCCAATACTAAATTTTCCAGCATCAAGATTTTGGACACACATTCAATCCTAATATAGCAATGGCGGCGAGCAGAAATGGAGGAGAAGAGGAAGTGAGGCAATTGGCAGCTGAACTCGGCAAAACCCTAAAAGAAGGGGAAAGAATCCTTGCCCCAACTCGACGCCCAGACGGTTCCCTCCGCAAGCCCATTCGAATTCGGGCGGGTTATACGCCTCAAGATGAAGTCGCCATTTATCAATCCAAAGGCGCTCTTGTAAGTGATGACAATTACTGATAGATAGATGTGTGTGTAAATTTGTTGTTTGGGTTGTTGTGTTTATTGATGGCAGTGGTGACAGTGGAAGAAGGAACTGGAGTCCACGCAGGAGGTGCCGCCCGGGTATGATCCTGCGGCGGTGGAAGCCAAACCTAAGTCCAAATCGGCTAAAAGGAATGAGAGAAAGAAAGAAAAACGTCAACAGGTAAGTAATTTAATTTAAAATTTTATTTTCGTTTTCTCAAATTTTCTGTGGAATGGTATTTTTAGTAGGTTACTTGTTTTTTCTGGAGTGTTAATCGTAAAGCTGAGCTGTCTTTAGTTGTAGTGCTGATAGCTTGATAAGCTTCTTGTTGTACTATCATGTAGTATTCTATAAAGAATGGATCTTTATAATCCACTCAATGTAGATGACATGAATAATTGGAATTACATGGGTATGTACTGTATAAATTAAACCGGTTTTAATGCACCAATATGTTGACCACGTACTTATTCAACTGCTGGTGCAACTTTACGCAGACGGAACAACAGAGATCAGATTTAAGAAATTTCTAACAATTACATTATACCTGGATTTCTGATAGCGGCTTGAGAGATTCAAGAAATAAAAACATCTTTAATATTATTAGGTTGTATTTGGACAATGGATTTGAGTGTGCACTACTGATTCTGAATTTTTTAGTTTCAAATCCATTCCTTATCCTGTGATTGGTTAATGATATGAACTGGCAAAGGGTTTTTGAATTAGCCCCCGTTTGGGCCACCTTATTTTCTCATTAAAATGAAAAATATGATCGTTATCCATCACATCAACATTTAAATTCAAAATTTCTATCTCTTGTGTGGCCCCAATAAGAACTATATTTTTCATTCTCATTCTACAATAAGGTGGCTCAAACAGGGCCTTAATAGATTTCGAATGAGGTGTGTCTAGACTGATGAATATGGGTTGGCTTGATTTAAATCCACCAATTTGAAGTCCACTCATTGAATGAATATGAAAATCCATCTGTTCAATAACAAAACGAAGCCATGAAGGTTATGAGCTTATCTCGTCTAATTTTATGTTGTTTTGAATCTTGTATTGTTATCAGATGCTAGCTTTTTAATGGTTTGGATGGGCTGGAAGTTATAAGTCACATAAATGAATGGCAGTTTGGTCTTCTGATTATCAAGGCTAAAACAGTAGACCCATAGATGCTTATTTTGAGTGGTGATTTGTCCATTACTTTAGAAATATATCGAGGTTATTTGAATCTTGTTGCCCCCCAAACATTTTCATTCACTAAGACAGTTAATGTTTGCTTAATAGCCCTTCATTTACTGATGCGTTCTATGCTTGGATGTACCACTGAAACAACAGTTTATTAGGTTTCAGTCCCTTAACTTTGTTGCACTGTTTTTCAATAAAGCAATTTTTGGTCCATCATAATAGACTTAAATATTGTGATTCTGTTGAAGGTAAGTAGAATGTAAGGGAAAAGGAAAGCAAAATCAAAGAAACTTGAAATCCCAAATTTGTTTGGCTACCCAAGATAAACAGTAGGAAAATAATTTCCAATAATCCACTTTGTTTTCTCTATTCCTAGAGAGTAAAGAAACAAATGAAAACATAGAATGTATCTGGTAAAATGGCAAATTTTTGTGTTCCATAATTATTAAATTCTTAGAAGTTTATTAATAGAATATAACTTGAATGACAATCTAAGATCTTCAAAACAAGCAAGTTACTCTGTGGCAATGAATTCCAATTGTTCAAGGTAACATAATTGGTCTCAAAGTGCTTTCTAAAAGACGAGGAGACAATTTTTTCTCTCAAATGTACTTTTGCAAACATCAAAACGAGATGTAATATATATAATCTTCATGGATTCATATAAATTTTCTCAAATGCCTGGAGATAAGAAATAAAATTGAAGTTTATTGGGATAACAAGTACTACCCAGGTCTAAGTACTGTCTTGAAACACCTCGTTGAATCTTCTTTCATTGACAATCAACCTGTCCTTGGCAAA